CAGCAAAAAATGAGAGTTGCACTTGCAACAAAAATGAATGTGAATGAAAGAATGAATTGAATGAATAAAAAAATGGAAAGCTTGCAAAAGTTGATTAGAACAAAACAAATCACCAATGTGACAGCAATGTCAACAAAACCAGGATCCTTTGCACTTTTGAACTCGCGAATTGGACTAATATTAGATTGTTTGTAGGCCCCTTAAAATTACGTTGGATTTAAACGCTAAACGTTATTGTGGTCATGCGCAGTGTTAAAAAAATAAGGTGTTAGGACAAATAATGTTAAGTGCGTTTTTTAGTTTTTGATACCGCGTTTGTTGAACTCTTAATAAAATAAGCCTCACTTTATTGTTTTCTTATCCCGTTTTGTTTGGAAAAGTTTCAAAGCTAGTTTAAGTTTGTATTGTTATTAAACAAAAAGTGGCTTAGATGGAAGAAAACATTGAAGCTGCCTTTCTGCATCGAAATGATCAGGGAGATGTGGATCACGTTTTAGTAAGACGCTTAATTTTACACGACATCTTTGACCCACCTGTTGTTGCATACCGAAGAGCTATTTTTAATTTAGAAAATCATCAGCCTGGAGATCGCCGTATCAATTTAGGTTTCAGAAGGAACATATTCCGAACATATTAAATAAAAATTCAAAATCAAATAGTTAGGGTATGGGTTAGAAGTTAGAACCTGTGCTTGCGATGTTAGTAGTGTTGCCAAAGTTCCAATTTGCCCAAACAATCTTCACATAAAATCCGTAATTACGCAATAATGGCGCAAATTAATCGATGAAAAAGTCTTATTTAAATTTACAAAGATTTCCCATTCTATTATAGCCGCTTATTTCATCAATAATATTAGAAATAAGTCAAATATGTCAACACCGTCGTTCTGCTTTTTGACGTTACCGCTACTCGTACGTAAATAAAGGAACACGTTATCCTCTATAACGTAAACGGTTATTTCTTTACTATTGCGCATGCTCAACCCCCCCTTGATGGTAAAATTATAACTACAAGTTAAGTAGTAATTTGACACTTGTTTTGTTGGCATGGCTGTTTATACCTGATTGTAATTTGTTTTGTTTCGTTCTAATCAACTTTTGCAAGGTTTTCAAGAAATGGAAGCAGAGGGGAAAGTGTGTAAGTAATGTTTTATGCTATAAATGTTATCAACTCTAATAAATAAACAAGTTTGACAAGTCTCAACTGTCACTCAATAACGAGTAATTTGACGTTTCGCACCGCCACCATCGGTAGTTGAACTCGCGAATATTACGAGGGCTGACGAAGGAAATAAAATTTTGCAATTTGAAGACAATGTTGTCTTTTAGACGAAAAAGTGTAGAAACCCGCTTTTAGCAGTCGAAGTAAAAGCTCTACCCACTCCAATAGCGCAAACGTTCATTCGTTTATATTAGCCGCAGGTCTGACTCTGAAAAGAAGTTTAACAATGGCGTGACACGGCTCTATTATCCCAAAAGCTTTTCCACCAACATCCACTTAAGTGAGCATAAGCTTCCGACAAATAAAGATTGATTACACGAGTTGCAGGTTGGTCGTTTTTTGCCGTCTGCGGATTTCAACAAATTGGTACTTTTACTGGCCGAAACGCCTATTTGCACCACCATTTGGTTTCCATTTTCTTATTGTTGCCGAGTTCGATTAAACATTGCGGCAGGGATAATTATGAACTGCATTGCCGTAAATATGCCCCCTTGAATGAATTACCACAATGCAGCTACTGTTTTCGATTAAAGCAGCTGACACGACATTATCCAAACTACCCATTATTCCACTCAATCAAAAGGACTCAATTTAGAAGGCTGTTCATGACTGCCCATAATGTAACAATTCACTGATGAATAATGGAACTTTCATGCCAACTGCCATTTAGAACCAATAATGGAAAAACAAACAAACACACCTTTGAAACTCCATCGTTCATTCGAAATCTAATGGAAAATGTAAATAGAAAACCGCAGAAAAATACCAATAATGTTTTGCTGTTGATTGGCAAAGAGCAGTTTAATTATGGAAAATGCCTGATTGAGAGCCGAAAGAAAACATGCCCAGGGGCACTAAACTCCGCTTTATAAGAGTATATAAATAATGCAACTGGGCCCATTTCTAGTATAAACCTTCACGACTGGTCAGATACCGCAAATTTATGGCTCCTGTTTGCAATTTCCCCAACGGTTTCCGTTTATGTTGGTTTTCCAGAATTATGCCAAGGTTCGCTTTAGATCTAATTACAACGTCGGATCTACGTTATTCGAGCCCAACATTGGCCTGAATGCCACTAAGTAGTTCGCATACTTAATCGCATTGCCAGGAAACAATACGGGGCGGAAGTTGAATTTTACCAACAGAGAACGTTTGTCTCTACTCAACCACGAACAGAACCTTTGTATCATGCAAGATCAGATTAATAATTCCACTTTCCAGCGGTGCCAACACACGTTGATTACAAGTCCAGAGCACATGTTTCGCCCTTTCGAGAGCTCCACATCGCTTTGCACAGATCGATCAGTCCCAATATCTATATTTATCTGGAACGATTCGAACGAAATCGTTCCAGATTAATTGTTCCTGAATGGATTTTGGCCGAAAAACGTTAATTGCGAACATGGCCTAGACAATGTTAGCGGGAAACGGGATGGTTTTGCGCTTTCAGCAAACAATTCGTCGCAGCTGTTACTTTAATTTTTCATTTGCCCGCGACGCTATTGCAAGCTCTTCGACACTGGCCGGTAGACAATTATTAGCAACTCTTTCCAACGTTCGTGTTTCCTCATGTGAGATGAGAACGTTCTCAACGTTAATTTTACATATTCTTTACACACTTCTACACAGGTTTTCTTTTCGACTGTTGCTTCGATTGATAAGTGGCGATAAAATCAGTGGCGTATCCGAAGGACTCGGCACAACAAATATATCAGACTCTAATGCGATTGTTGTACCGAGCCCTTCGGGCACAACATTGATTTAACCACAAAAACTCTTTAAACTAGCACTGATTTTAACGCAAAAACGGATCAATCGGCAGGGCAAAAGTCTGTTTGTGTCCAAATCAGTGTTGTGCCCGTAGAACTCGACACTACAATCGCATTAAGGTCTAATGTATTTGTCGTGCCGAGCCTCTCGGGCACGACAATGATTTAACCACGAAAAAAATTTTAAACTGCATTGTTTTTGTGCGTCAAAGTGTCAAAGTCAAAGTGTCAAAATCAGTGTCTTGCTCGTAGGGCTCGGCACAACAATCACATTAGTCTAATGTATTTGTCATTCCGAACCCTACGGGCACGACACTGACTTAACCACGACAAACTGCACTGATTTTGGTGCAAAACTGATCAAGCGGCAGGTTTAAAATGCGTGTCAAAATTAGCGTCGTACCAGTAGGGTTCAGCACAACAATCGCATTAGATAAGTTCTATATTGTTGAGGCGGATTCATTTTTTTACAAACTTCTTGTTGGGTATTT